CCATCTGCTGATGCAGAGTAGACAATTCCCTTGGAAGCAACTAGTCCATTGATTGCGTCGTCATGGGCTTTTATTGATTCCAAACACTTGAAATCCGACATCCTCCAAACCTTGAGAGTCTTATCCCATGATCCGGAGTAAATTAAACTGTTTGAGACAGCCAAGCAAGAAATACTATCCGTGTGTTCAATCCACAAACGCTTATGATGTCGCCTTGTTTGCACGTAATTGCTTTGCTTCATGAACTTCCCCAAATAGTCCTTAGTAGTGGGAAGAGTATCAAGAAGCCTGAACAAATTTTCGGAACTTCTTGAAACCTTCCACACTCTAATTCTACTATCTTGATGTGCTGTAAAAACTTTGTTCCCAGCAGTGACAAGTGCCTTAACCGAGCCCTCTCCATGTCCAAACTTTGTGAATTGCCTCAAATCAGGCTGTTGCCATACTATGATATCCTTGCCCTGTGAAGCACTTAGGATAAATTCTCCACATAAAGCTAGGCAAGAAACTGATCCAATGTGACCCGATAGATTTGCTAACAATTTATGCGAATGAAAACTTGAGGGCACGTTCAAAATCTTGAATTTAAGATCTTGAAAGTCATATCTAAACGATGTCACTGGGCTTTCATCCGTATCACTGCTTCTTCCGCTGCTGCTGCTTGGCGTTGAAGATAACGATGGAGTCGAAAAAGCACTATCTGGAACATGATGCTTAACTGTTTGAATCATGTTTCTGATTAATGAAAACTGTATGTTGGTCTTTCTCTATATTCAAGATAAACAGATACAAATAAGATTGATCAAGAAAGGACGTATGAACAAAGAGATGTTGAGGAAATTTCTCGAAGAAGTTATAAAAAGTTTCAGATATGAAGGCAGCTATAAAATTATATTGATCATGTATATAATATGCAAAAGAGAGAGAGAGAACAGGAGCGGAGTTGGAAGAGGGCCCAGAAAGTATAAACACGGAATTCTTGGGAGAGAAAGATTTGGTTTAAAATAAATAAAAGGCGTTGGTCTTGGTCTCTTGGAGTTGGAAAGTATGGGGGTGGCGTGAAGGAGGTGCAACGGCTACTTTGACAAGAACAAAACTAACAACTCTTGAAAAAGGGTAATGTTGGACCCCAACTATTTCCTTCTTTTATTTTGTTGGATTATTGCTAAGAAAATCTTGAATTTTTTTTT